CCTTTTTACTCTTCAGCACGTCATTCAACAGTTGGAACTGTTTCTCTCAAAAGGGATAGCATAACAGCTTGGTTTATTTTATTTATGCATTTATTGAAGCATTTTTGCTCTCTAGAATTCTAGGCAGCTTGGTATATTTCGTAAGCCAGCCATTATGTCCTGTAAAACATAGCTTATACCTTCTGTGAATCCAGCCATTTTACTGATTCAGTAAATCTAGCCATGTATGTATGTATGTATGTATGTATGTATATTAAATTTATATGCCACCTTTCTCACTCTGCAAAGTGACTCAAGTATGTTACGTGAACTAAGCTTTAGAATTAAGGAAGCATAACTGAAGATTTCTTTTAACTTCAAAACAAAACAGAGCACACATTTTTATTTAATTCATTTGAATTTATTAGCCACCACCCATCTCCAAACAAGAATCTCCCCCTTATCACCCCAATTTTTTCTATTTTCAGAAGAGAATTAAATTGAATTGGAATATTGTCTCTTTGTTACTCCTTATTTTAATACTATGTTTACTTGTGGTTTTTAAGTAATGCATTAAAAATATATTTGCTGGCTTATGTAGGATAAAGATGGAATTGGTGGTTCCATTATATATATATAATGCAGTAGTGTTGATTTTTCTTTTGGCTAGCGGGTTGCTCACCATCATGATGCTAACAGAATAATTTTTTTTCTTGGTCCAACAGAAGTTATAAAAAGTAGTTGGATGGACAGACTGTATTTGGGGGGAGTGGCGTATACCTTTGAATCAGTCTTGATTCCTGGCAAGTTATTGCACATCCCTCCAGTTTTCTTGGCAAGATTTGAGAAGTGGCTTGTGATTGCCTGTTTCTAGGGCAGAGAAAGAGGGACTGGCCCAAAATCATCCATTTGATTTCCTGTCGAAGGCAGGACTAGAATTTCCAGGCTCCTAGTTTCTAGCGTGATATCTTAACCGTTGCATCAAATTGGCTCTCCTTTTGATGCCTCTGAGTCAGTGTTGACTCCTGGCAACTGCTTGGAATAGAATAGTCCCTGTAGTTTTCCTGCAAGTTTTTTTCAGAAGTGGTTTGCCATTGCTTGCTTCCTAGTGTTGGAAGGAAAGTCTTCATTGTGATTCAGTCCAAGCTGGGAATAAACATGGCGACTGCTTTAGGAAGAAGGTTGTAGTTTATTGAAGAGGAGAGCCAGACAGAAAGATGGCTCTGGTAAAAAAAAAAAAGAGAGAGAGAGAGAGCACATGTAGGGAGTGGGTTTTATACCCTCTGGAGCCTTTTGTTTGGAGTTGTTTCCTGTTCCTGTGGCATGAACTTTGACTGAGTCTGAGTGTGCTTTTCTGGTATTCTGATGGTGATGGGTTAATCCTATTATGTCCCAAAGGTTGTATCCTACTTCCCTGGGACTGGGGCTAATGACTCTTAGGGTTTGGGTGAGGTATGCAGATTTTAGGTGTCTTTGTCTTCTTAATCTCCTAGCTTCAACCTTCCTGATGGTTTACATCTGCATTTGTACAGAGCTGGTTTCTGCTTGGGGGAGGCAGACTTGGGGCTATCAAGAAAAACTGGGCATGCTTTTCTGCCTCTTTAAAATCCTTTGAGGAAATATATTTTTCTGCCCTTTTAATATTTCCTTCTCTGGGGGGGGGGCTGACTTCCCACACTAGGATTGAGAGAGAGTGACTGGCCTTAGCTCACCCAGCTTGCTTCCTGCCTAAGGCAGGACTAGAATTCATATTCCCATAATTTCTAGAATGATAGGGGTTGCCCTTGATTTACAACCATAACTGAGCCCCACATTTCTGTTGCTAAGCAAGGCAGTTGTTAAGTGAGTTTTGCCTCATTCTCCGACCTTTCTTGCCACACTTGTTAAGTGAATCATTGTAGCTATTAAGGTAGTAACACAGTTGTTAAGTAAATCTGGCTTCCCCCTTGACTTGTCAGAAGATTACAAAAGGTGATCACATGACCCTGGGGCACTGCAACCATCATAAACATGAGCCTGTTGTCAAGTATCTGAATTTTGATCATGTGATTATGGGGAGGCTGCAACTGTCTTAAGTGTGGAAACTGGTCATTAAGACACTTTTTTCAGGGCCGTTGTAACTTCGAACGGTCACTAAAGAAATGGTTGTTTGGTGGTCGAAGACTACCTCTTCCTTAACCATGATACCAAACTGGCTCTTAACTGTGATTTACAATGTTTAAATGGTTCATCACAAAAGCAAATTTCTTTGTGGAATCGTTTTCCAAAATGATAATGCTACTTTATTGGCTCCAGGTAGTTTGTTGTTCTATATTGTATGAGATGTCCTCTAGTCCAGGGCTTTTCAACCAGTGGTACAGGTACCACCTGTGGTACATTGGCACCTGGCAGGTGGTACGTGACCATCCTAGAAAAGTGGTAGCAGGGGAGGGGAATGAGCTGAACCAGTGGCAGCACCGCACAAGCCTGAGCGAGAGACGGCTGGAGCTGCAGGGCTGTCAGGGCTCAGCGGAAGCGCCAGGATCAGTGCCAGGCTCCAGCTGGAGCTCGGCGCTGATCCTGGCGCTTCTGCTGAGCCCAGAAGAAGCGCCAATCAGCTGGAATGTTGCAGCATCTCCAGGATCTTGTGATTTACATTCAGATGCGTGGCCACTGATTCATATTTATGACGGTCACAGTGTCCCAGGGTCATGTGAAGTGACCAAAACTTGCTGCAACCACCCAGCAGATGGGGGGGAATAAAAACCAATCACCCCCCCCACCCCACCTCCACTGCCAATCCCCAACAGAAATGCTCACAACAATGAAAACCTCGGACAGGAGGAAGAGCGCCACTGGGTGGGCAGGCAGGTGTCTTGCTCGGCTGTGGCTTGGGGGGCACTTTTTTCAGTGCCATTGTAACTTCGAACAGTCACTAAGCAAACTGTTGTAAGTCGACTACCTGTACTTTATCATTTTTTTCCTTTGGGGGGGGGGGTCATCAAGTTTTTGACACCTTGCTAGGCGACTGGTGGTACTCAGATATTGCCATATCCTAAAAGTGGTACAATGGGTGAAAAGGTTGAAAAGCCCTGCTCTATGGCACTTTCTAATCATAGCAACTCTCAATGGGTTTTTAAAGCTCCAAGACAACTTGGCGAATACATCTAGAAGAGTCTCTGCTTAGCTCTTTGCGGATACAAGAACTAGCGTACCCTGGCTGTGTGAAAAGCCCCCAAACCACAGAGCAAAGATAGCTTGAATGGATTTCTTTTCACCAAAGTGAACAACTATTTACTTTTCCAATCATGCTGAGCTTGTTATTCGGGGTGGTGTCTGGGATGAAACAAGCGCGGTGGATAAATTGAAAGTTATCTCCAGGCTTCCTTTTAAAGCAAAGCTTTCCCCAGGTGATACACAAAAGACAATTCGCTTTGTGAACAGAGTAGAATAATTTAGCTTGAGATACATCAAGTAATCCATGGGCTGCCGGCTGCCCCCAGAGTATCCTGTGGCTTGAGCTGCTGAAATTTGGCAGAGCAGCTTTTATTTTTCCATGGCTGCTGAGTCAATTAAGAGAGATCCATAGAGTGGGCTGTTAAGTATTTCTGAATTTTTCCAAGGTCTCGGGGAGGTACAGATCATCTGCTGTTGGAGCCATTTATATAAAGCCAAGCTGTAATCTACAGAGCTTCAGCGGTCAAACCAACTGGTTAAGCACTGTCTCAGGTGGTCAGACAAGTAGGGCAATTTACCAAAGTTTGCCCGTGTCTGAGATGGTTGCTATGAAAGAACTGATAGGGTGTTGTTTCCTCCTGAATTGGTGTATGGATATGTGTTACTGAGAGATTTACAGTTTGTTCCTCTGCCACTACTAAGGCCCAAGGAACGCCCTTGAAGCAGAAGCCTTGATTCATAAGGTAGGAGGGTTGGTTTAATCTAGTTTAAGGGGTTCTTGGTGCTCTTAGTGTTTGGCTATTTTCTTGCAGATGTTTCATTACCCAACATCATCATCAAACAAATTTAGAGAGCACCAAGGACCCTTTATTTCAACCCTGAGCTACAAATACAGGTAGTCCTCGACTCACAACCATTTGTTTAATGACCACTTGAAGTTGCAATGGGACTGAAAAAAATGGGAGGGCTGTTTTTCCACACTTGAAGCCTCCTCATGGTCACGTGATCAAAATTCGGATGCTTGGCAACTGGCATGTATTTATGACGGTTGCAGAGTTCCAGGGTCCTGTGATCCCTTTTTGAGACCTTCTGACGAGCAAAATCAATGGGGAAGCCAGATTCACTTAACAACTGTGTTCCTAGCTTAACAACTGCAGGGATTCACTTAACAACCGGCAAGAAAGGTCATAAAGTGACGCAAAACTCACTTAACAACTGTCTCACTTAGCAATGGAAATTTTGGGCTTAATTGAGGTCTAAGTTCAGGACTCCTTGTAATAACCATTTGATATATGTGCCTATACCCAATTTTTTGTCTTTTAATTTTCATAATAAAGTTGGATGAGAGAGAATCCGGTCATAAAGAATAGAAAGTAAGACAAACAGCAACTGGAGACTATGTTTTGAGTGGCAGGTGAATGGGGGTGGGAGGAAATAATGGATGGGAGAGTCTTACCTGCAAGGGGTTTTATATGTGCATTCTCCGTTCCCTGTTTTTCCAAGCCAATTTTTAGAACACATCTGGAGAATGTGCTATTACAGAAGGTTACTTGAAATTCCGACCTGAAATCTCGTTAACCCGTAGGTGTGTTCCCCCCCCCCCGCAGGTTTTGCCTTAGACTTTTCTCAGCACACTAAGTTAATCAACAACATTTATGTTCCATTCAAAAGAGACAATCAAAAAGGCAACAGAAAGACCACAACACCTCATCACCAGCAATCAACACCCAGATCAGCAGAGATTAACACCAAGATTCACTAGAACCAATGGTCAAGCAATTAAACAAAATCTCAATCAAGGAACTACTAACTACAAAGTGTAAACAGCTGCCTAATCAAGGAACACCCAAGACTGAACACTTTCACTAACATTGAGCCATTTGTATATAAACAGAGAGCAAACCCCCACTCTTTTTGATGATATTACCTAGTTGGGCAATGAAATATCTGCAAGTAAACAACTAAGCTCAGAGAACACGAGGGACTCCACATGAACAGGCTAATTAATGGAATGAAGGTAAGGGAACATTATTTTGCTTCTCCAATGATTTAGTCTGGTTCATTCATGACAGCCATGATTATGGTTTACTATTGTTATTGTTTTTAGCTCAATTATGTGCCATCGAATTAGTGTCCGTTCTAGGGACCACATAATATATAGCATGGGCTAATTTCCTGTCAAAAAAAGAAGCTGCTGTAGCTCACTTGTTCTATAAACAAGTTTTTTTAAAACAAAAAACTGGAATTGCATAATATATGAATCCAACCGTAACCTTATACCAAATATATAGGAAATAGTGTGGCTTTCCACGTGTGCACACACAGGTATACGAATGATTTTCATAAAATACTCTGGGCTCTTTCGGAAAGAACAGTAGCAGAGAAATTAATTTTTGTTTTTCACTTTTTTACTCCTCTGGAAAATCACTTATTTTTTCTTCAATACAGTTAGTGATACAGATAGTCCTCGACTTACAACAGATCATTTAGTGACCGAAGTTATACTGAAAAAACTGTCTTACGACCTTTTTTCATACTTACGACCCTTGCAGCATCCCCATGGTCACATGATCAAAATTTGTACACTGACTTATATTTATGACAGTTGCAGTATCCTGGGGTTGCATATTTCCCTTTTGCCATCTGACAAGCAAAGTCAGTGGGGGACTATGTTACTAACTTAACAACTGCAGTGATTCACTTAACAACCTTTGGTAACCTGTGATAAGAAAAGTCACAAAAAGGGTGCAAAATTCACTTAACAAATGTCTCACTTAGCAGCAGAAATGTTGGATTCAGTTATGGTCGTAAGTCGAGGATGACCTGTATAATGGAGGAAAAGTGAGTGAGAAAAAAACTTCAAATGCTGAACTTTAACATTAATGCTAGACCATCCAAGAAATAAATGGGAAACTTAAAAAAAAACGATAAAGGGACAACAGAAGGAATTTTAAATTAAGAGAAATAGATTTTACATTTTTAAAAGTATTAAGAAAAAGAGGGGAAAGATTGCTATCATTAAAAAAAATGGAAAAAAGCCTTTAATGCAAATCATTTAACCTCAGAAAAGCAACTTGGTTTTTCATCATTCAAAGAGTTGGCTCAGCTATAGTAAGAGAATTGACAGAAGAGTGTCCAACTCAGTGCAGAGACCACAAAAAAGTCAAGTAAAAGCTCTCATTTTTGCCATGGAGGGAAATATTCTTTACTGTATATGCAACTTTTACCCATAAATGCAGAAGCCAGAAAATTAAGTAAGGGGGGGAGAAGCTTTTAATAAGCACTTTAGAAAACGTAAAAAATCGTGAAAAGCAACATCCAAACTAAAAAAAAATGGACAATTGATTTCACTGATTGTTGAAAATATTAACTTCTTTTTTAATTTTACACAACCTCCAGCTGGATTAGTAACAGCAGGAGTTGGTTCTGGAAGTGGAAGAGTCAGCCGTAGTTGGATTAAGCCATCGTGTGGTCCTTCCTAGAGCGGCCTTTGTCTGCACTGCCTCAGAAATGGCACTCTGGGCAGCTCAGTCTCCCCTTGTTGCCTGCGTATGTACAGGTAGTCCTTGACTTATGATGACTGTTGATTTTGTGACCATTTGAAATTACAATCTCTCTGAAAAAGGGGACTCGTGACCTGGATCCAAAGTTCTGATAGTCGCAACAAAGATGATCAGGGGACTGGAGACTAAAACATATAAGGAACGGTTGCTGGAATTGGGTAGGTCTAGTTTAATGAAGAGAAGGACGAGGGGGCACATGATAGCAGTGTTCCAATATCTCAGGGGCTCCCCCAAAGAAGAGGGAGTCAAGCTATTTTCCAAAGCCCCTGAAGGCAGAACAAGAAGCAACGGATGGAAACTAATCAAGGAGAGGAGCAACCTAGAACTAAGGAGAAACTTCCTGACAGTTAGAACAATTAACTAGTGGAACAACCTGCCTCCAGAAGTGGTGAATGCTCCAACATTGGAAGTTTTTAAGAAGAGACTGGACAGCCACTTGTCTGAAATGGTATAGGGCAGCGGTTCTCAACCTATGGGTCGCGACCCCATTTGGGGTCGATCGACCATTTCACGGGGGTCGCCAAGCAAGGCTGTCCGCCATTTTTTTTCCCTTTTCCGGCAGGTGCCTTACCTCCCTTGGGCTGGGCCAGCTCCGTCTCTGCTGGGTGCCAGCTACGCCTCGGCCGGCGCAGCGCTCCCGGGCAGGGAAAGTCCTCAACTTACGACCGGTTGAGTAGTCCTCGACTTACAACCAGTTTAGTCCTCGACTTACGACCGGTTTAGTCCTCGACTTACGACCTGTTGGGGATCGCGGCATTAAAAAGGTTGAGAAGCACTGGTATAGGGTTTCCTGCCTGATCAGGGGATTGGACTAGATGATCTCCAAGGTCCCTTCAGGTGCTTGGCAATATGGCTCTATTTGCATCCATTTGCAGCTTACCAGGCACGTATTTCCACTCTTCTGCACTAGCAAATAATGGATTTGCATCATGACTACCCCAAAAAAAAAAAAACCCACCTTATAAATCAGGTTGGTCACATGACCAACAGTCATTGTTTTATGACTGTTACGAACTTAATGGGAAGGCTCCGTTACACCACAACTAAGGATTATTTGAACGATGGGGGGATGGGGGAAAGTTGGATTCACTGAACGACCAGGCAATTCATTTATCAACTGCAGTGTTTCACTTAACAACTGTGGCAAAAAAAAAGGTTTGTACAGGTAGTCCTCGACTTACAACCACAAGTCCAAAATTTCCATTGTTAAGCAAGGCAGTTGTTAAGTGAGTTACAGTTCATTTTACGACCTTTTTCACCACTATCCTGAATACATGGAAGTTGCCAGGGGTTTGTTCCTGACCGGCTGGAGGTTGGCTCAGCCTTCCATCCTTTCAAGGTTAGTAAAATGAGGAGCCAGATTGCTGGGACAAGATGCTGATGTTGTAAGCCATTCCTAGAGGGCTCTAAAACACTATGGAACAGTATATAAGTCTAAGTGCTATTGATAAGGAAGAATTGCAGATAGTCCTCCACTTACAACCATAATGGAGCCTGCCCTTCAGGGTCATAAGTTATTCACCACAAAAGATCTTGAGTCAAGAAGATACTCAGTTGGTTCATTCAATTTAGTATGAGAAAAAATTATACAGGCAGTCTGACGACCACGATCGTGTCCATATTTCTGTTGCTAAGCAAGATAGTTGTTAAAATGAGCCATGCTCCATTTTATGACCTTTAGCCACAGATGTTAAGCAAATTGCTGCAGTTGTTAAGTGAACCACATGGTTGTTAAGCAAATCCAGCTTCCCCACTTTGACTTTGCTGGTTGGAAGCCAGCTAGAAAGGTTACAGATAATGATCACGTGGCCTCCGGATGCTGCATCTGTCGTAAATACATGCTGATTGCCAAGTGCCCAAATTTTAATCATGTGACTATAGAACTGCAGCAACAGTCATAAGTGTGAGGACTGGTCCCTATTTTCAGTGCCATTGTAACTCTGAACATCACTAAGCAAATGGTTGTAAGTCAAGGACTACCTTATGTGAGAAGATGCATTTAAGATGCTACCTAAGCATTTGAGCCTCTGTAATCGTTTCTGGGCTATCTACAGGCCAGGCAACATGATTCATCTCCTACTTCCTTTCATCTCTCACCCTCTTTATATCTGTTTTTTTTTCCCCTGAGGTAGTTCAGAAGCAGTTGTTCTTGCTGTAAATCTCTCCAAGCTAGTAACCTTTTCTCTATTGCCTTCTTTTCCCTCTCTCTTTTATAATTTGGCCTTTTCACTGTTTAAATGTTCCTCCTTTTGGTGTCTGAATCATCCTTCTTCTGATTAGAAGTTGGGATATGTGAATTAAACTCCAAGTCCTAGAAAACTCCAGCCTAAGCAAGTCAATTCTAGATTAGCATTAATCAACAATTTTCTATTTGGGTAATGCAAAATTAAATTAGAGATTTAGGATTAAGTATAGTTTAAAAATTCCATACTATATAATTAAGTTTTGTGGTTTCTTGCATTCCAATCATTGCTGATTTCTAAACTTTCATTTATTTATACAGCCTCAATTCCAATGAAATGTTAATTTTTAGTTTAACATTTTTGATTCATGTGGATGGTTGAATAGGACGTGCTGGGTTATTAAACAAAACTGTATTCTGATTTAGCATGGTGTGTGACCTGAACATCATGTTGTTGCTATTGTGCACCTGTATGCACACATTTGATGGCAGCTTGATTCCTTTTCATCCATATATACTAACAATCTCATTGTCGTGACCTTTAACTGAGCAAAATGATGCATCATAAGGCAGCAGTTTTTGAATCAAGGAATCAAGTTTTGGACCTCAAATGGTCCAAACTCTGGGACCCATGACTCTCATGGAACTGAAATTTGGGGAAGGTGTGGGTGCTTCCGTGCTACTGGCTATTGCTGGGTTGCTGCTGTGATCATGTGATCTTCATTTTTAACGTTCTTTGATGATTTCCCAGGAATTTCCCTTCCAACCCTGTATGCTGTCCCACTCACGCACACACACACACACACACACATCACAGGTGTAAGGAGTCTTTATTTAGGCTTCTGAGCCTGAACTGGTATTCCCCAGCAATTCCTTGTGTCAGCACTAGCTCAACCCCAATGAGTTCCACAGGCTACTCAAATGAAGCCAACACTAGTTTTCAAAGCAAAGGCAAATCCAGTCCCGTAGGCAAAAGCTAGTTCTCAAGGCAAAGGCAAGTTCTAAGACAAAGGAAAGTCTACAGGCAAAGGCAAGGCAAGGCAAAGGCAACAGATGAAGAGACACAATCCAAAGTTCAAGGAAAGAACACACAGCAAGGAAACAAACACGTTCCCAGCATCGTCTCGATCTGTCTGCTGTGCTAAACAGCCACTTCTGGTGCAGCCCTTCAAGGAGGGCGAGGCTTTCTCCTCACGAGTAATCTGGCTGACCTTCTCTGCTCTTGCCTTTTCTCTGCCCTACGTGTTTTTGGATCAGGTGTAGAAGACAGTT